AGCCGCAGGATACGGATCCCCCGGACCCACAGCAGCCCCACATAGACCCAGAACCGGCCCACTGGCTCACAGCGCTGGTGCACAGAGAACTGAACCGGGCAGCGTCTGGACTCATTCTGTCAGAAAACACGTGGTTCACAGGAAATGTTCTGAAGGGAGGCGGGAAGTCCGTCGCTGCACGAGGACGAATGTAACGGAGCAAAAAAATGGAGACGAAAGAGAAGATCTGCAGCAAAATCAGGATTATTGAACTGTTCATGTCGTACGAGATGAGCTGAAAAATGACAAAAAATCCACAAACTGTGTCCGATATGAGACAAAACCTGACTTGAAATCTGTCTAAAGTGACTCAAAGCTTGTTCCATGTGCTCAAAGTGTCTCTAAAGTAAATTAAAAATGTGCAAAATTCCACAAAGTTTGTCTAAAATGATTGACCTCAAATTAAAAAAGATGAATCTGCAGCAAAATCAGGAATCACGGAACTGTTCACGTCGTCTAAAATGAGGGAAAGTACACAAAATGTGTCCAAAGTGATTCTAAATCTGTTTAAAATGACCCAAAGCTTGTTCAATGTGCTCAAAATGTGTCTGACGCAAATGTCAAAATGTCCAAATGTCCAAAAATTCCACAAATAATTTGAACTTTATCCAAAATGAAAGAACGAATCAGCAGCAGCGACTGAACCAAGAGTCAGTCCGTCAACAAATGAAGGCGCTTTAATGACAACAATCAGAGTTTGTCCAGTTTTCCCAAAATCAATCTGCATAGACGTGAACACATAAATACTGCATACGTGTGCTGACAGAAGGAACCGAAGCAAAACAAGTTAAGACACTTTTCAGAAAATAAATTACACTTTTAGGGACGTTTGTTCGTTCTGAAACATCAAACACGCGGATAACGAGCAGCTGTTTGGACTTTACATACATACTTTACTTTTTTAAAATTTAATTTATTTTTAAATTTTCAACTGTATTCCAAAGATGAATGGTCTGATATGAATTGCTGAAGCCACAGTTACATTTTCCTCCATCGTCTGACCTGTTGACCTGTGGATCAGACACTGCTGTCAACAAATTAACGGCTTCAATAAAGATTGTAGAACGACCTTAGAAACCTCAACATGTATACATATTATATATATATATATAAACGTAATTGTGTTATTGTATTTCATTTAATTTCGTTGGTTTTCACGGTAAAGATAATCAGAGTAGATGAGCTGAGGTGGTGACGTCATGGAGTACGCTGCTGTCCCAATTGCACATAAACGGCGACGCGTTCTGCCGGACTCGCTGGACCGGACTCGCTGGACCGTTCTCGCGAGTACAGACTAGTGAGTACGGACTTGCGAGAACGCAAGTACGGACTTGTGTACTTGAGTATTGAGACACGGCTCTAGCCTTTATTATACATATCTATGGTCACAGTCATGTTATTGCTTCAGCGTGTAGCTCACTTCCTGTTTACTTCCGGGTTGGCTCTTTTTCTTCCTGTTGATCTACTCTGCAGCTTTGAGCAGGAGGAACTCTTCACTCAGTAAGTCGGTGACGGTATTTTAGTCCCGTTATTAACTTTAACTACAGAAAACGTGACTTTGTTTGTTGTTTTGGAGCGACGTAAAGTCGCTGCTCGCTGTTGACATAAAGTAGCTCTGCAGAGTAGCAAACCCCGCTACTGTTAGCTTACGTTAGCCTGCTAACGTGCATCATAAATGTAGCTGTTTTGTCCTTTCTTTCTTCATAGTTTCTCAGTTTTGCGCTTTAGGCACTCGTCGGCTTCTCCGTTACCGGAGACGGTTCGCCTTTATGAGCCAAACTTTGTGTGCTTTCTCCCGCTTCGTTAGAAGCTAGCCTGATGAAGATAGCTGCCTGATAACGCGCAGGCGCAGAAGTAGTAGCAGTAACAGCAGCAGCGGTTTCCAGGGCAACGATGAACATCCTACCGAAGAAGAGCTGGCACGTGCGCAACAAGGACAACGTCGCGCGCGTGCGGAGGGACGAAGCGCAGGCGGCGGAAGAGGAGCGCGAGGCCCAGAGGCGCGTGGAGCGCGCGGAGCAGGAGGTGAGGCCGGGGAGGGAGGAGGGAAGATGTACCGGGGAGGTCACGGTCGGTTCCAGGGAGGGAGGAGGGGGTACCGGGGAAGTCACGGTGGTACGAGGGAGGGGGGAGGTACCAGGGAGGTCACCGAGGCACCAGGGAGGGAGGAGGTACTGGGGAGCTCACGGTGGTACCAGGGAGGGAAGGAGGAGGTACCAGGAGGTCACGGTGGTACCAGGGAGGGAGGGAGGAGGTACTGAGGAGGTCACGTCAACGGTTTCCATTCATCGTCTGTGTGAAATGTCCCACAGTGCATCCTGGTTGTGTTGCCCGCTTGTTGGCCACTCCTCATTTGCATAAAGTTGAGTCTCGGCTACTTTATGCAAATATGGAGCTTTGAGCAGAGGTCCAGAACCTCAGGAAACTATTGTACAACCGCCAAACTGATGGTTCATGTCCACGGGGTCGTTTTTACATGCCAGGCATCCAGTGTCTCCCAACATCACATGCTTTAAAGTTGTGTCACCACCAGGCCACTAGGTGGCGTGATGACAGCCGCTTACTGTCACCAGAAACCAGTGGTGTGCAGGTGTTGAGCCAACAAAGCGGCTCACTCTCAAACTTTCTCTGTAGTTACAAAAACAGTTCAGCAAAAAGTGCTTCTGAAAACATTTGAGGCGAGAACTAAGCTGCTAAATCTGTCCCTGTTTCAGTTTAACATCGATTAGTTTAGAGGGTTTATGAAAGTTTAGTGAGACGTCGAACTCCTGCTCAACACTCCTCATTTGCATAAAGTAGCAGGGACTGAACTTTATGCAAATGAGAAGCGGGCAACCTGATGCCTGGTCGCAGTTTGTATATCATTATGGTCTTAAACAACACAAACAGAACTAACATCTTTGTGACTGAAACTCAGCAACATAGCAGTAAAACAAAGTTAACCCTGTGTGTCTCCACAGGCCCGCACCGAGTATCTGAGGAGGAAGTCCAGAGCTGCTCTCCAGGCGGCGGGAGGAGGACCAAGAGACGACGAAGAAGAAGATGAACGCAGCGGAGGAAGTGGAGCTCTGCAGCATCTCAACCTGTTTCCTCTGGAGGAGTCCTCGGAGAAGAAGGGAAACGAGGAGTACCTCCAAGAGAAGAAGGAGGAGAAGGTGACGATGCTCGACAGCGACCGTGTTATGTTGACACCTTACGCTGAATGAATTTTTATTTGGCTCGTACGTTTATTCTGGCTGCAAACAACATAAAGAAGTGACAAAACACAGTCAGGCCTCATGTTGGAGATGCAAAGGAGGATTTTTTTAAAAACACATTTTTGTGAAAAATATGTTTAAAGCTGCTCATATTCTTGACATTGGAGGAAAAATGTGACCAGAGCAGAAACCTGAAGTCACATTCCTCATGAACTGTCGGTGGCATGAAACCCAAAACATCCATCATCTCTACACCTTCATCCTCAC